CCTTTATTTTCATTGTTGGTTATTTTATCTCACAGAACACGACAACGCTGTGTGTCCGAAGCTAAATTTAACGCCCCCAACCATAACACTGATGTTACCTGTCCACGAGAACGCCAAATAACACTCAACACAGCCATCGCGTTCAGCTCTAACGACAGGACCGTCACACACCCCTCGCGACAACGCCCCCCCCCCTACCCCTCCCTAACCTTACTCTAGCGGCCTGATCAAATTTACGGCTGAAAACGACACAGTTAATTTTAGAGGAGCTACGGTAAGGAGGCGTCGGACCTTTCTTACCCCAGGGAGATACTCGTTGGAGAGACGCAGGACGAAGGGAATATGATCGAGGCTTGTCAAGGGGGTTGGTACCATATTCAAGTGGAATATATATACCTGAGAACCTGGTAACAATTTATCTAAATTTACCTGAGGGTCGCCATCTATTTAGTGCCCTCGATGGGGATTGGAAGTCGGCGGCTTGTCGAAGCCGCCGACTTGGTTCTTGATAATATAATTAGATTTTGTTCTTGGAGTGAAGTATGGGTCCGGGAATAGTGTGTGTGGGGTAAGTGGAATATAAGCAGTCGGCTTGCATTACCAAGACACATAGTTTAAGAGGACTCAACGGTATACAGGCTGGGCACAAGGGGTGAGAGAAGGAGGAGTATGCGGCCCCAGCATGGAGCCCGTACCTTGTCAAGCACAAGACGAAGCTGGAAAAAGTCCAAGGGTATGCCACAAGACTAGTCCCAGAACTAAGAGGCATGAGTTATGAGGAAAGGCTGCGGGAAATGCACCTTACGACACTGGAAGACAGAAGAGTAAGGGGAGACATGATCACAACCTACAAAATCCTCAGGGGAATCGACCGGGTAGAGAAGGACAAACTATTCAACACTGGTGGGACGCGAACATGGGGACACAGGTGGAGACTGAGTACCCACATGAGCCACAGAGACATTAGAAGGAACTTTTTCAGTGTCAGTGTAGTTAACGGATGGAATGCATTAGGCAGTAATGTGGTGGAGGCTGACTCCATACACAGTTTCAAATGTAGATATGATAGAGCCCAGTAGGATCAGGAATCTGTACACCAGTTGATTGACAGTTGAGAGGCGGGACCAAAGAGCAAAAGCTCAACCCCCGCAAGCACAAATAGGTGAGCACACACACACACACACACACACACACACACACACACACACACACACACACACACACACACACACACACACACACACACACACACATTTTGTAACACACTGAGAAAGAACTTTTCAGTGTCAGAGTAGTTGACCAATGGAATGCATTAGGCAGTGATGTGGTGGAGGCTGACTCCATACAGTTTTAAATGTAGATATGATAGAGCCTAATAGGCTCAGGAATCTGTACACCAGTTGATTGATAGTTGAGAGGCGGGATCAAAGAGCCAAAGCTCAACCCCCGATAGCACAAATAGGTAAGTACAAATAGGGGAGTACAGACAGACAGACAGACAGACACACACACACACACACACACAGACACACAGACACACACACACACACCACACACACACACACACACACACACACACACACACACACACGCACACACTACGCATCACATATCAACAACATTACATCAGCAGCATACTCTACACTAGCAAAAGTCAGAAGTAGAAAGTGGAGGTAGTGGAAGCAGGCTTCGTATACAGTTTCAAATGCAGATATGAATGAACCCCCAATAGGCTCAGAAACTTGTTTACCTTGGGCTGGAAAAGGTTGAAATGGTTGCCACCAGACTAGTACTCGAACTGAGGGGTATGAGCTACGAGGAGAGACTACGGGAATTAAATCTCACGTCACTGGAAGACAGAAGAGTTAAATTGAAGGGGTCATGTTATAACCCCCGGTTGATTAGACGCTGAGAGGCGGGACCAAAGAGCATAGGCTCAACCCCCGCAAGCACAATTGGGGTTATAACTAGTCCAGTGTGATAGCCATCCCCCCCCCCCGTTGCGTATAACAGCAATCCTACAAGAAGGTCACTCGTGCTGTGGCGAGTCCCATAAGCTGGTGGTGCTGTTACCGCTGCTCCTCCTCCCGCCGCCCTCACGCTCTGTGGGAGCTTCTTCCCGTCCCACGTGACACAGAGGCCTCTTACCTCCCTCCCTCCCTCCCTCTCTCCCTCTCTTCTCTCTCACTCTATCTCTCTCTCTCTCTCTCTTTCTCTCTCTCTCTCTCTCTCTCTCTCTCTCTCTCTCTCTCTCTCTCTCTCTCTCTCTCTCTCTCTCTCCCGTACTTCCGTGTTCATTTATAGTGGTGAAACACTCACCCTGTTCAAGGACATACACACACGCACTCATCGCACACTCGCACTTTCTAGTAAACTTTCGCGCGCTTGCACACTCACACTTGGGGAATAATTTGTGCATATTTACCCTCAAGGTCTCAACTGTGTGTGTCCATCTTACACCCAAGTCCCCCCCGCCCTTCTCATCGCAGCTACATCTTACCTCAACGTCGTAAGTCCACATCTAACACCCGCATCACCCGCCCACACCAAACACCCACACCTCCCGCCCACACCAAACACCCGCACCTCCCGCCCACACCAAACACCCGCACCTCCCGCCCACACCAAACACCCGCAGCTCCCGCCCACACCAAACACCCGCACCTCCCGCCCACACCAAACACCCGCACCTCCCGCCCACACCAAACACCCGCACCTCCCGCCCACACCAAACACCCGCACCTCCCGCCCACACACCTCTCGCCACGCCAAACACCCGCACCTCCCGCCCACGCCAACACCCACACCTCCCGCCCACACCAAACACCCGCACCTCCCGCCCACACCAAACACCCGCACCTCCCGCCCACACCAAACACCCCCACCTCCCGCCCACTCCAAACACCCACACCTCCCGCCCACACCAAACACCCGCACCTCCCGCCCACACCAAACACCCACACCTCCCGCCCACACCAAACACCCGCAGCTCCCGCCCACACCAAACACCCGCACCTCCCGCCCACACCAAACACCCGCAGCTCTCGCCTCACGTCTCACACTAATGCCCGCTGACCTATGCCAGCGCCAAACTCTTGTCACCAACATATTCACATTTATTAATGCAGTCACTCATGCTTGCACGCACACATAGTAAATAGTGAATACACATGACTGTGCTTTCACCGTCAAAAACGTTCACAGCCAAACCTACGCATCTACACATGTTTGCGTGCGCGCGCACACACACACACACGCGCGCGCACACACACACACACACACACACACACACACACACACACACACACACACACACACACACACACACACACACACACACACACACACACACCTGTACACCTGTTGATTGACGGTTGAGAGGCGGGACCAAAGAGCCAGCGCTCAACCCCCGCAAGCACAACTAGGTGAGTACACACATACATACACCCTAGCAACTACGAGTCAGTAGCTTCAAAGCGTTATACGACAAAGAGTACTGGGAAGACGGGACACCACGAGCGTAACTCATACTGTAACTACACTTTGGTAATTACAAACAAGAGCATGCCAGTAGCCTGTCTTAGCCACAGCATAAGGCTAAACCACCATTACCACGCCCACTGCGTCTACTCCGTCTTCACGAGCGCTCACAACCTCACTAAACTGATGTGCTAAGGTGCTCGAACCTAACCTTACCGAGAACCCACCAACAGAAAACGGGACGTCACGTCAATTTTACAAGCCGCTGAGACTTTTAGTACATCAGTTTTTGGCCCTAGGGGATTTATATGTCAAAATGCGATATACTCTTCGAGAGGACGGGCTAACGCCTCTACCACGCCCACACGCCCACCCTCTACCACGCCCTCACGCCCACCCTCTACCACGCCCTCACGCCCACCCTCTACCACGCCCTCACGCTCACCCTCTACCACGCCCTCACGCCCACCCTCTACCACGCCCACCCTCTTCCACGCCCACCCTCTACCACGCCCTCACGCCCACCCTCTACCACGCCCTCACGCCCACCCTCTACCACGCCCTCACGCCCACCCTCTTCCACGCCCTCACGCCCACCCTCTACCACGCCCTCACGCCCACCCTCTACCACGCCCTCACGCCCACGTCGCCACGCCCACACTGGGGAAATTTGGCCACCTACTCTTGGCACTGGGTGTTACTTCCTTCCCAGTGCCGTTGCATCAGTAGAAATAGACCACAGGTCGGGTGACAGGGGTGGTCGCAGGCTGGTGGTGGTCGCTGGCTGGCGGTGGTCGCAGGCTGGCGGTGGTCGCAGGCTGGCGGTGGTCGCAGGCTGGTGGTGGTCGCTGGCTGGCGGTGGTCGCAGGCTGGCGGTGGTCGCAGGCTGGCGGTGGTCGCAGGCTGGTGGTGGTCGCTGGCTGGCGGTGGTCGCAGGCTGGCGGTGGTCGCAGGCTGGCGGTGGTCGCAGGCTGGCGGTGGTCGCAGGCTGGCGGTGGTCGCAGGCTGGGGGTGGTCGCAGGCTGGCGGTGGTCGCAGGCTGGAGGTGGTCGCAGGCTGGCGGTGGTCGCAGGCTGGTGGTGGTCGCAGGCTGGTGGTGGTCGCAGGCTGGCGGTGGTCGCTGGCTGGCGGTGGTCGCAGGCTGGCGGTGGTCGCAGGCTGGAGGTGGTCGCAGGCTGGCGGTGGTCGCAGGCTGGTGGTGGTCGCAGGCTGGGGGTGGTCGCAGGCTGGCGGTGGTCGCAGCATGGCGGTGGTCGCAGGCTGGCGGTGGTCGCAGCATGGCGGTGGTCGCTGGCTGGCGGTGGTCGGGAAGTGGAGGCTGAGAGATGCATAGTGCAGCTGACGATACGAAAAGCAGCCATAGGTACGAAAGGCCGAAGAGTATTGGTCACATACGTATACTAAAATATACAGAATCTGAATCAAAAGCAAACTGCTCGATTGTATTTATATTGATAACTCTCGCCTACTGAGGCCATCTGGATCATACGAGCGTGTTTCTCCTACGGAACCTCCTGGGTATGATTACTCTGAGCGTGTGTGCGGCCACCTGTGGTCCGTAATCTTGGGCTGGTGAGGGTGTGGCTCTTGTGAGGGGCGGGGGTGTGGCTCTTGTGAGGGGCGGGGGTGTGGCTCTTGTGAGGGGCGGGGGGGTGGCTCTTGTGAGGGGCGGGGGGGTGGGATGGCTCTTGTGAGGGGCGGGGGTGTGGCTCTTGTGAGGGGCGGGGGTGTGGCTCTTGTGAGGGGCGGGGGGGTGGGATGGCTCTTGTGAGGGGCGGGGGTGTGGCTCTTGTGAGGGGCGGGGGTGTGGCTCTTGTGAGGGGCGGGGGTGTGGCTCTTGTGAGGTGCGGGGGGATGTGGCTGGTGAGTGAGGGGCGGGGGGGTGTGGCTGTTGTGAGAACCAGCTCAGCCACTAGCCTCCTTCACAAGAACATATAGCGAGGCAACTGATACAGGGCGTGGTAGTAACAGGGAAGGGGCGTGCTAGCAAGGTGGACTGTCAAGGGAAGGTGGGGGGGGTGAGGCCAGGAAGGTAGGGAGGGGGAGTGGCGATAGGAACGAGGGGTTGCATGGGAGGGGCGGGGCTGCCTCACTACACTAAGACTAATAATCCTTTAATGTGTGAGGCACTGAATTACACTTGAAGCTCAGAGCCTTGTCTGACTCTTGATAATGACCCTGGCCGTCGACTGGCCTAAAGCCTTACCACCTAACCTTGGCAACATCACACGGCCAAGCGACACTAACCTTGGCAACACCACCCGGCCATGTAACACTAACATGGCAACACCACACGGCCAAGTAACACTAACCTGACGACAACACCACACGGCCAAGTAACATTAACCTGACGACAACACCACACGGCCAAGTAACCCAATAAGTTTAACTTGCTATATATTATTATTGGTTAATCTGCGTTAAACTGTAGTGAAGGAAGAAGTGATTCCTCGAGTGCTTGAAACATTCCTGCATCACATCATTTGCTTGTGAGCTAATTCCCTGTCATAAAGCTTAGGCTATCTCCGGGGAGCTAGGCTGTGATGCAGCTGGAGTGAGGCCGCGCCTCGAGTCTCATACGACCGCCAGACAAAATAAACCTCGCACTCGAGTCAAGTTCAAGGGGGAAACTCGATACTTGACAAATATAAAAAAAATATTAGTAAAAACATCCATCGATTGTAACTTTTAAAGCGACCAGACGTGCATTAATCTGGATTCATTTGCGTAGAAACTGTTTCCATAAATGATAGTTTTTAGGTTTAAAATATCATGTGTCGCATCGACATGAATATTGAGTGTTCTTCAATTTCGATGTTTGATAATATTACGATTATGCTTTATTGTCATATATTTTGTCATGTCCTTGGAGATCAACCAACAATAATATATAGCAAGTTAAACTTAGAAAGGAAAATGCAATAAGATTGACTAAATATATAATGTCATGAAGTTGTTGTTTTTTAATGTGTGTGCGCATAAACCACGTAGAAACTAACACGTGATGAATAATGGACAATGTTTAATCACGAAGGAAAATGAAATAAGAAGTTCCTTAAGTACTTTCGTGTTAATCAACACATCCTTCTAATGATATATATATATATATATATATATATATATATATATATATATATATATATATATATATATATATATATATATATATATATATATATATATGTGTGTGTGTGTGTGTGTAAATCAAGAAAATTAACACGTGATGAAAAATGTGACAGTGTCAGACCACGGAGGAAGAATTGAAACAGGAATTTCCTTAAGTACTTTCGTACATTAATACATCTTCAGAAGATGTAATTAATATACAAAAGTACTTAAGGAAATTCCTGTTTCAATTCTTCCTCCGTGGTCTGACACTGTCATATATATATAATATAGGGATATTATATATTTATTATATCCCTATAATATAGGGATATAATATATGTATAGGGATAGCACCTCTGGTGCAAATGTAGGGACCCATAGCCTCGGAGAAGAAAATAAAGAATACTGAACACTTTGATATTTTCTTCTCCTACCACCCCTATTCTTTACACATTATATATATATTATATACATTTGAACTTCTTATAAATGCCAAGGATTATTGAGTACCGTATATTATAAATATTTAGCGCAAGTAATTTCTGGACAACGTTTCGTACTTTTTCTCCTGTTAATATATGCACTTGAAAATTACTATATGAATTATACATAAATACAACACATTTCTTGTAGACACGTTTTCAAACATTATATTTTGTAGAAAATTTGTAATTTTGCCTGGATAAGACAAAACAATACAGGTTGTCTGGAAAATGTTCTTAACAGTTATTGAAGAATATTCACTGGACTTCATGTCATTGATTTAATATAAGTAAAGCTGGAATTTTCCAGAGCAATACAATTTCACATAACACATCAGCTCGTTCTCTCGATTTGGAATTCCGTAAAAAATGCAGCTGGTTTGCCTAACCTGAAACATACGAACCCGAGCAAACCACGTAATATAATACATCATATTTTAAACATTTTAACAATAACAGTGGTCCTTTCCGTAAAAAAATGCATAATTTACAAATGCATTTCCGTAAATGCCTCATGTAGTAGAATGTCCAGACGTGATCCTCTCCCGGATCCCGTCAGGAGAACAGCAACACTGGGGGGTAAGCAAGGCATCAACACCAGTGTGATGCGCACCCTTGCGATAACAGGCATATGTGACGCTCGCTTCATGAGAGCTGGGGGCTGTGGAGGCTGCATCCTCCACTTGACTCCAGCCTCACACGGATTTGTTTAGAGATCCTATCAATCATTACCTCAATTGGTCAGCTTGCATGTAACTCCATCTGCTCTGATGGCCCAACGTCAGAGCTTCTTTGGAATTTCTAATTATATATATATATATATATATATATATATATATATATATATATATATATATATATATATATATATATATATATATATATAAAATTTGTATCTTGGTTCAAAGAGTAAGATTTAACGTGTATAGTTCCAAACATCATTTTGTTTGATTTATTGTATCATGTCTGCCGATTTCATTCACAAAATTCGGTATACCTCAACTGAAAGTTGCAAGATGCCACACATGCTAGATACCATGTAATTTAGAATTAGACAATACCAATCAAGGGGGAGGGGAAGAGGATAAAATAATTTAGAGAAAATTTGGTTAGAACCAAATGAAAACAAATCTCTTTTTGGAGATATAAACAGACCTAAACCATCTAAAAATATCCTAAATCTCGCTTCTACACAAAACCTAATCCCCAAAAAAACTAATCTAAGCATATTTATATATACATTTTTTTTATATAAATACAAAAATCAGTCAAAATTAACATGAGCCAAAAAAAATATGGGAGCAGCCTGTGGATTTTTTAATAATAGATAAAGAAAGTCAAACCCATTTATCTCGTCCGAGGGACGCTAAACATGCACAGCAACGCGGCCACCTCCGCTCCAGGTGATGTAGTCATTTATTACCAATATTTGTCTTTTAAAATGTTAAACATTCGCTCTTTTGATTAACAAAATGATATCATGTAGCTCAAGTCCTTACCTCTCACACTCACTCCTCCCCTTCCTTACACACTCCCCGCTTCCACCTTGCAAGAGGTTATAAAAGCCGTGATATCAGCTTCCTGGCCAACCAACACCAGTTAATTGACAGTTGAGAGGCGGGACCAAAGATCCAGAGCTCAACCCCCACAGGCACAACTAGGTGAGTACATACACACATGCCTCAGATGATGAAGTAGGCCACGACTCAAGAAAAGTCTTCATACACTATTAAGCCAATTTATCCTCATAATAGAACGTCGTATTTTGACGTATACTTTATCTATGGTCAAAAATTGTCATACTAGAAAATGGTAACATCTCGCGAAATTGACATACTGTCCCGTTTTCTGTTTTGGGTCCTCTGGTAGGTTAGGATAACTTTAGTATGACAGTTTCTTGACGTTGGGAAACCTTAAGATGAGCTGATTAAGCAGAATACATCTACAGTACACATAATCTTGTGTTCAAGTGCCCTTAGACTCACTTAGCATTTGTTTATTGATGACGTAAAAGGACAAGGCATTAATTTTGTTTTTGTATAAAAATTATGTTTTGGTGTTTGTTAATGATAATAAAGCAAGTTAATACTTACTTTTCTCGTAGAAGCGAAAAGCAGTCTTCCCCAACCATCCTCTTCAAGTTCACCAATAACTAAGAAAG